ATATAATAATTGCCAGTTAACAATTTCAACAAGAAGTCTGTATTTTGTTACAGATTGAACAGACAACGACCAAGATGTTTTATTATTTACTAATCAATCGTCTCACGTTTTTCTTAACATCCTCAGATCGTTAGAACAGAAATAACTGTAGCATATCTCGTTTCACTACATCTTGTCACGATATCTTATTCTATTTTTCGCAAAGTGTTCCGAGACTCGCGTAGGCGGTCCGAGTTCGGAAAATTTCAAGGGACAGACCAAGCGATAGAGACAGAAAGATAAGCGAGCAAGAGAGAGAGAGAGAAAGAGGGCGAGAGGTCGGTTCAATCCACCGCGGCCCCGGTTCTCTAACGCAGGAATAAAACCGCACCCGTTCGATACCGGTTTACGCTATCTCTGATAAAGCCGAATCGCGTACACACAGATCGGTCAGAAGCGCGAGTTTCCGTCCGATTTTCCGAGAGTTCGGCGAACCTGCGGTTTCCATTTACCCGCATCCGCTTCTCTGTCCCACCGACGCGACGCACCGGTCATTCTCTACCTGTATAAACGAGAACCTCCATGAAACGCCTCTGTATTTTTTTTTTTTCTTTTGCTCGATAAACGATTAGGCCATCGTTTTTATAATCCGGATTGTACAGGAATTTTAGACCCGAAGCAAATAAATATGGTTGCAAAAATATAATTCATCCACTGTTTTCTATTTTGATACAATTTAGAATGGATCCAATGTATATCTCGGTTTAGCCTTTCTTTGGCCGGCACTAAGGATCGGATTCGGTCAGCGACTATATTTCTATGCACAGTATGTTTGCTGCTTTGCACAATACACAGTAAATCTGATTATTCTATGCAGTTATCCTAGTTGATAATTTGAATATCTAGATTCCAAAGCTTAGGACGATGAAACTAATCCCAGTTATCAGATTATTCGCTACTCGATACGGATATCCGATATTTCACATTAGACGTACTTTAATTCCTCATCAACTCTGGTAACCTGTTATCCCGTTTCGCAGTATCTTACGAGGTTAAGCGGAAGCCGCGTTCGAATTTAATCGCTCTTCCCACCGTCGCAACGGAGAGAAATGATCTCGGTGGAACGTAGACGCGGTACGTATGTGCGAGGTGTGGGCGTCGCGAAGCGTGCCAGTCGCAAAAGGGGTTGAAAAAAGACGGTGAGGAAGAGAAAAGAGTCGCGAGACGCCATCCTTGAACTAGGTCGCGTAGCGTATCCTGCAAATATCGCTGCCTCGTCGACGACAAATACCGTCGACTCCTCATGAATTGCAAATTCGCGAGCGTTTCTATTTTTATTTTTTATTTTTTTATCTGCGTTCACGTTCAGTATGTGCCAGTATGGTCGAATTTCTTCTGCAGGATAACGTTCACCGGCGAACAGAACTGATTTAGTAAATAAAAAAAAACAATGAAAATTACACGACCGTATTTTGTATATGTCTTCATAACGCAATTCAATAATCATTCAATTCACAACGAAAAGACAATCAGTCTGGTTTATGAAAAAACAGTTGGCACAAGACGAACGTCGATACATCCTTTAAACAAAATCGGACAGGATATATTTTTACACAAATTTTTCTCAATACATTCAACTATTTATAGAATCGATACTTGAAATATTTATGGTTCATCATCGATAACGAGATTATTGAATCTCGGTCGTAAAGTTGTTTTCTTGATGCGATGCCATTTTCATCGATCGCAGCGTTAATATCGCGAAGACCCGATAATCGCGCGATCGATTTCATCGGCTTCCTCGAGTTTCGACGACGCGACTCGGTGCAGATTCTCCAAGGAGCTGGCTACCGGTGTAATCGAATATCCCGTTCTCTAGTGCGGAAATAGCGGTGGCCTCGCGCAAGGATTCACCTTGGTTTCGTTTCCGTGTATCCTTTGTCCGGGGTTTCTTTTCCGGTGTTCGGTGACCATCGTTAAAAGTCCGATCGCGAGCGACGATTCGAAACAGGGTCAGGCGAATTTTCTGACCGTCTCGACTTCACTATTTTTCAGGTCTTGCTCAGCGGTCGTGAAGGAAGGACGGTTGGTAATTTCGAGGGAGGTAAATTGGAACGATGTTAGCGAGGGTGGCGAGAAGGAGCTCAAAGAGATCGCGTTAAAGTCCTGGCCAAGTTTCCCTTAAAGTATTTATCGAGGAAAAAAGAGTGCCAAAGAACTGTGGGCGAAGTTGCCGGAAAGTGAGAACGCGCGAGGGAAACGAAGAGGCGCAACGCCGACGAAGGAGGGGTGAGAGTGGAGTGGAGCGGGAAGGAAAGAAGCCGACGGACCGGGGAGAACGTGAAAGAGGCAAGAGGAGAGGAAGAATGAGAAGCGACGTTGGGCGAGAAAGGAGAGGATCGTGGTAGGCGGACAAGAGTTACCTTTGAATCATTGATAAATTGACAGATTGTTTCATTAATTTGTCGATAGCCGTTCCTGAGCTTGACATTTATCAACCATAAGTTCGACAGCTGCTTCTTTTCGACCATTGCAAAATCTCGCATCATTTCATCGAACGCAAATATTCTGAAACGTTGAAACGTTATTTCAATTTATTTTCTGAATTTAGCCGTTTTGAAATTAGAAATTAAATTTGTTCCACGATCAAATACGAATTGATATAAAGAATCGTGTTTGGACCAATGATTAAGAAATGCAATGATTAGGGGAAAATAAGTCGAGGTCGTATGGAAATGAGACGTAACGTGTCGATGATTCGAAGGTAACCCGGCGAAGAGTGGATCTCGGGGGTTGATCGGGGTCGATCGGTCGGTGTGATGGTCTCGGGGTGGTGTCCGTGCGTGCCGATCGGCCGGCGGGAATCATCGGCCCAGCAGCAGTCGGCCTCCTCCTCCTCATCGAGGAGTTTCGGTAACGACGGTGCACCGTTCACCGTCAGCGCGGCCACCGACCGCGCAGAGATGGTACAGATGTTTTACTACGAGAACCGCGGCAAGTGCTGCAAGAAGTTACTTCGATACAACGGTTACCCGAACAAGGTGAGCGAATAATTACTCTACTCCTAACACAGTTTACTTTTGTCGTAGCGAAAGTCTGTACAATAAATTCTCTGTCATTTTTTACCGTAAACTTGTTACTATGAGTGGAACACATTTTGTACCGAAAGAATTGACCTTTCGCGACGTCGGAGTTCAGTTGACCTAAATTATCCGACTTTATCCTTCTTCCCTTGGTTCTTCCGATTGGACGAACCCATCGACACCGTCCAGAGCACGTCCGAGACGAAATATCTTGGATATCTCTCACAATCAGCTCGAGATAAAGACAAAGGGCGAAAGGGGATGGCCGTTTCTCGCGAATGAACGTTTTACGGTGCTCGAGAGGAGTTCTCGGCGTTCGGAGAACGGGGAAAGAACGGTTTCCAAGTTCACGGCAAGGGAGAGGGAACAGTACCAAGTATCCAAAAGCCCCCGGGGAAATAAATCGATTCGCTATCTGAATAGCCATTATGCGGACGTGGTTTGGGGGCAGAGGGGGGCTGGGAATGGGTAAGTTGGAACGTTGGCTCGTCTGTAGCTGCAGCCAAACCTCGGTATACGCTCGGAGAACTTGGAAGACTCGGAAGAACGAAAGGGGATGCGAGGAAGAGAGAGAAAAAGGACGAGCGAGTCGATGGCTTGCCTTATCCTAGAACTGGGCTAATGCTTCAGAGTTTCCGAACTCGTATCGGGCAGGAATTTTCTTTCAATAACCGAGTTATTATTCATCCAGGCCGTTTATTACTCGCTCCCTCCCTTTCACGTCCCGCCCGCTTCATTCTTAACTTTTCGTTTCGCACATCACAATACGTTGCTAATCTAATATAAAATCAAGCTATCAAAAGCGGTATACGTATAACGTATACGTAGAAACGTGTGTGCAATCAAGTAGCTGTATGATTAAATTTACTCGCGTCAAATCAAGCACGATGTGTATCATTTTCCAATAATGATGGCCTGCAGCCTTTGACGTCGCCCGGATTTTCATGCATATTAAATGTCGTGATAGCAATTTTATTAAGAAGCATCGTGGCTTATTTCCCATTAAAATGCATCGAATAGAATCCATAATACAAATCCACATATGCAACTTAAATACGTGGATATCTTCTACAAAAATTGATTCATCGGCTAAAATAGTAAAAAAAATATTCGAACATATGCCAGGCTATATGAATCTGTTTCAAAGACTTCAGATGCTGAATCAGTACTTGGAACATCATGTATCATGTAGCCCCTTCGGTTCTGAAAACCTTCTATTGGTTTTATAGTAGGGTTTTATAGTCGCACAGTAGGTCGAATTTTTCCTCCGGGAACGCAGACCCGATCTTTGATCGCTCTTAAAATATTGCGTCGGAGCCCGTAGAAAAAAGGCTTACCGTTCGCGATGTTATCTGGCCGACGGTTTTCCACCCTCGCCTCGGAACCTTCCCCTTGGTCTCGGCCGTCGCGGGCCACTAAATTTCGTTTTCACGTACGCGGATTATCCGTTCTCTAGTTTGTAATCCGTAATCCTACGCGGATGGTTATTCCGCCTAGACGAACCTTTTGAATATGGATGAGTACGATGCTGCCGGATGATTGCGTTGCCCGCGTGCCGTATTAAACTTATCGTCCATCTTTCACCAGTGCGATTCTGACGGTCTTTCGACGATCTCTATAAGTGTAACGAAACGTTCCCGCGATTAAAACTGACTTCGGTGGGTTTACTCGTTGAGCTCTTTAGTCGTTGTTCATGAAATCCTACCAAATTCAGAGAAGAGAAAGATTTGCAAAAAAATGGGATTGCATATAAATACAGCGTAAAATCGGAGAAAAATACGGGGTTGCGTAGGCAAAACTCTACTATAGGAACGTCCACGGAAAGAAGCATTGTCTAAAATCTACGCGAATGAATGGTCTGCAAGGTGCGCGAGGACCTCTTCGGCTTTCAGTGTCGCAGACGTTCTTTATGTCGGCGCGATTAAAGATATCCCGGATGAAAAGGGGGTTCGTTTCCAGCGCGGCAGCTTTCTCTTCTCTGTTAACGCGCGAGCCAACGCGAAAGGGAAAGAAAAAAGGTAGAACTGGAATACGAGAAGGCAGGAGCGGAGAGAAAAGGGGAAAGCTCGGCGAAGAAAAAGTTGTGGCTTCGCCGCGAAAGCTATTGCCCTCGTTTATCTATTCACCGGGCCTTCCTCTCCCCTTTCGTGCCTAATCTTGGAGAAGCCCTTGCTAGGTTTTTCCCAGTTCCCATGCGTCTCCTCGCGTTGCTCTGTTTTCGAAAACGAGCCGAGGCTCCGGTTCGCGCTTTCGCGCGAATGATAAACGAGCAACGAGTTTCTCCGGGGCTCCGTGCAGCTCCGTTCGAGTTTATTTCGTTCGTAGTCAGAGAGCGGAACGAAAATATCGATTTTTCATCGTCGTTTAATAATTTCAGTAGAACTAACCGCCCCTTTTCTTCAATTCATTATTTTTTATTTCATTTACGTTCGTAAACCCGTATTGCCGTTCGTTTTTTTCTCAAGATGGTTACAAGTACTCTAATTAGGAAATCACGAATTCCACTTGATTTTTGTATATCGTTATGAGCGTTTTACATAATTTAAAATTTACCTTGATGCAGATAAATATTTGTACTGCACGCAGTTAGTTTTCGGATCCTTGGGTGCAGAATTGCAGTATAGGGGATGAAGTGAACGGTATCTATCCGAGTACGTGGAAACAACGCGGTATCGGGATCCGTGAAACCGGTAGAATCGTAGAGAGATTGGTTTGTTCTCTAGCCAAGGGAAAGTAGCGATAACAGACGAACCCGGGAAAGGTTGAGTGAAAGAAACAACATCTTTTCTTGTTCCTTTCTTGGGATTCCGACCTTTTATATGGTAGACAATAGAATAAAAGACTTGAAATTGGCTTTCATTTACGAGTTACAATCTCTATAAACGCACAGATCATCATTTGAGCAGACGTCAGAAATCTCAATTATTATCGAATGAATTCTTTTATGTATCATAAAACAATATGAAGTGCAGAATGTATAGCGTTAAGGAAGATATCAGGATAGTGACAGACACATACACTTGGCGAATCGATTAAATTCTATTGTTCACGATGACACTGCGTTTAGCGAGGAGGGAGAAATCGGTAGTAAGCGTTTTGCATACTCTTCCATTTGAAAAACTGCGTTGTTCGACTTGCCTTACACGTTGGTGGATCGATCGCGATGGCGAGAAAGGCATCGCGACAAAGCGCCCGTCGCTACCGGATGATATCCGCTCTATTCCGTGACGAAATAAAGCGCGCGCGAATGGTAGTGCGATTAGGCGGAGATGCGTGAGCGAGGAAATCGGAGAGCGACCGAGCGAGCTGAAACCGAGAGGAAGAGCGAGAGAGAATGAATAGATGGACAGGGTGAAAAGGGGTAGGGAGGAGGACTCGGAGCGATGGCAGGCAGGCAGGAGCAAGAACGGGAACCGAATGAGAGCGGCGCCTACGGGTCGGGGGTGGCGGTTGCAGGGAGGCGGAATCCGGAGGTTAGGACGGAGGGAGCGACAGAGAGGGTGGATGGGAAGGATGTGGAGCGAGGAAACGGGGAACGGGCTAAGGGTAGGAGCAAGAGAGAGGAGACCGTTGGGAGGAGGGGGGATCGGGGGTGAGCAGGGGGAATCGCGGAAAAGAGGCAAGAGGGTGGTTATTCCAGGCTCTGCACCCCCGTGGCTGTCCCAGCGTATCGCCATGGCAACCGACCCTGAAACACCCTGCGGCCGTCGCACCATCGGAGCTTTGCTTTCCGATGATAGTAATAATGTATCCTCGCTTTCATTGATGTAGGTCGCAGGACGTTACCGATGAAACGTCGCTCCTTCTTCTGTCGTGTTCGCGTTCGCTCTCCCTGGTCACAGGCACCAATAATTACACTGGCCGTTCGCTGCGGAAATTCTTCGCCACAGTACGCACTAGGATTCGAGTCAACATACCGAGGCATGATTCCAAAATCGTTGCAACAAATTATGGGCAATTATAAGAGTTCATGCGTAATTATGAAGTGCATTGGGGTTGTATTTAAATCACCGCCTTCCGATATTTCGTCGACGACTGTCTCGAATCCTGGTCACAAAAAAAAGCGACATCGAAACCGTATTTGAATAAAATATTAATTTCACTATAAAAAGAATTTCAGTTAATCTACTCAATTCTCCAATTGACATTTGAAGTTAAAAGGTATCGCAATTAACGACTGAAGCATAATCGTTAATCGTTGATGACAGTTTTAGCCAACTCTGTCGCTCGCAAATAAGCGCATTAGAAGTTGAGCAAGAAGAAATGAAAACAGAGTCGGGAAGACGTGTTTGTCGCGGCGGCGCGACGAATGGCGTCGTACTTTTTAATCGGCGCCACTTGTTTCTAACGACCCTCCTTTGTTTTCGAGTCTCTACATACTACAACCCCTATACGATATTCCTAACTCGTGGTTCCGTCACTCGTCTATTCCGTCTCGCTAACCGTTTCCTGTCACTCGTCAGTCGTTACTCGTTAACGTTACCCGCTTCTCGTTAACCGCGAGTCAACGTCGTCTTTAACCCAATCCCTTCAACGTCGGAGCTATAGTATCGTGGTCAGTGATGTATAAAAGTACTTGCTTGTGTAATATAATACATATTCGGAATTTTGTAACTGTAGAAGATGTTAATTAAATTTGATCCTTTGTAGAAAGCGCACATATTTCGTAACGTGAAAATAATATCAAATGGTATGAGATATTCCATGTAATATAATGTGACTGATTATTATTAAACAAAAGCAGAATGTTTAAATAATCTGGTATTCCCGAAGAAATGCGATCTAAAATAATGCTTTATTCAGAAATTCTGAATGCTGCTAATTCATCAAATATACCAAAGAACTTTATTTCTTATAATAATATAATTTGTACAGAACAGGAACAACCTGAACTATTACTTACCTTTTCAAAGGAAGAATGATAACAACAATTAGTTGATGAATCCTAGTGATATGTAATAGATTGTACTTTTTTGAGAGAGAATTCTCTACCGCATTCGCACCAGGTAGAGAGAAATACGAACTCTGGTTACGAATCAACCGTTGTTTCGAGAACGAAGCAGCTGTGACGTTACGATGCTTTGTTTCCGACACTCGGATTTTCGATACAGCAGCTTGTAAAAAATAAAACCTCTCGTACACCAATAGTCTTTGTATCGCAAAGTTAAAAGGATTCAAGGCCCAGCAATGCTCTTATGCCTCTATACTCGTTTTTTAATAAATGTAGACAAATATTATGCAATTGTTTGGCTTGACTCATTTGTCAATCGATATTTTACGTGAACTTTAATTATAAAATCATTCGCATCAGCGACAGGCCTGAGTGAAGCTCAGATCGTTAAGCTTCGCCCGAGTAGCTGTCCAAAGCGTAATTTAAACGCTAACGAGTCGTCGATGCGCACCGCGTAATTGCTTCGGCGTACAAAGTTTTTTACGTCGCCTGGGTCAACAGTCCGGTGTTTTTCACGGGGTCGAAACGGACCAGCACGGCACGACGACGCGGCGACTTCTCGGTCACGAGCTACGCGCGACGGTAATGGGCAATCGGGATCCTAAGCGTTGACCTATTTAGAGTTTAGCCGTGTAGCTTAGCGTAGAAACCGTGTTTCGGGTGGGAGCAATTTATCGGGTCGCAAATGAAAGACTACGGGGGAAACTGGATGGAAAGGAGCTGAGGCGCGTTCCAATTTAAGGGGGAAGGTAAATATCAAAGGGATCGATCGGAATCGAGTCGGGACACGCTCTACCTCCGTCCTTCTCTCTTTATCTATGTGACTTGAGGCTTTCAAGTCACCTCCGAAGATTGACCCTCTTTTCGAGGGGTGGAGATTCGTTCACCGGCGGAAAGTAGCTGACGGAATCTCCGGCGCGGCTGCGAGTTTATTAAGTCGAAGATAAAGGGATAGGGAAACGTTCGACGAGTCTATAGTCAAATTTTCTTGCCGAAGTAGGTCGATCAACGGATGTTGCAATTTATTAGGTCATACTATGTACATTGCTAATGCTCTATAATCTTCGTTATTTCAAATAAAATAATTCATTCACTAAAATTACTCATTAGACTGGATTTTATACATTTACGCGAAAGTTCAATGTGCGGAATGTGTGTGTAATGTACGAAATCGTATAGAACATCAAAAGCTAAATACCTCTTTCAATGCTTAAACGATAAAAACACACGTTTTTTAAATGTTGTATTCTGCATAAAAACCCTTAGCCTATCAATCATTTATTCATTTTTTTCTACATTGTAAACGTAATATCATTTCTCTGATTTCCTCCAATCCCCTTTTAATGTATTTTCTCATTTAACTCTTGTTTTTATTTTTAGCCTGCCTTTTATAAGGCAATTTCGTATTTCATCCTTAATGTTTCTGAAAAATTTACGTCATTTATGAACCCGATGGATGCAAAAATTGGAAAACCGTAAAAGACTTACCAGAGTTTACCTCGTGAATCAACGGCTTCGGAGGGTAGATGAAACAGAGGGGATCGTTTCGTTGAACGAGCCCATTACGCGTGCAAGATTAAGCCCATCGTATCTAATTAGGTCTGCACGGTGGCAGGTGTAAAGTATTGCTGACCGTACCTTCTCCCCGTGCCCACGATTTCTAGGATTTCGTACAGAGCCGGTTTTAATCTAACTTGCATCCGTGTAAGTACGCTCGCGTATCTGTACAGCCTCACTACTCCAAATGGTATTATTTATGTATAGCGTGGTACAAGACATTTCGGTACTTGATACTAAAATTTATTGCCGTTGAAATGCAACATAGAACCCTTGATGCCCCATCGTGTCTCATTAAACAGCATAATATACAGGGCGAAACAGTATGAAATTAAAGTTTCTCAGTAGTCATTGATTTCATTATAAAGCCTAATAAAAATACATTTTCACTTCTCAGAATATATTCATTTAAGTATGTATACAGTCTATCCCAAAAGTTTATGTAC